GAGCCCCAAGAGGGCTCCAAGAGGGTCCCAAGAGGGCCCCAAGGGGCACCTGAGAGGCCCCCAAGAGGCACCCGAGCGGCCTCAGAGAGGCCAAGATGACTTTCAAGATGGCTCAGATAGCCCAAGCTGGCTCAAGATGGCCCCCAAAATGCTCCAAACGGCCCCAAGACCGCTCCAAGAGCACCCAAGAGCGCTCCAAGAGAGCCCAAAGAAGCGGGATGTCGGCTCCTGAACGGGGAGCTGAAGTGGGGACCCCCCCATCCTGTAATCGATGGCCCCCAAAATGCTTCCAGGAAGCCTTCCACGGCTACCAAGAGGGTTCCAAGAGGTACAACACCCCCAGAGAGCACCAGCAGCAGAAGCAGCCCAGTACCCAATACTCGTCCTCCTCGTCCTCGTCCTCATCCGCCCCCTCGCTTTCCTATCCCTCTTCGTCCTCATCCTCCTCTTGCTCCTCCTGCTCCTCTTCCCCTCGCCCCCACGCGGCCTGCAGGGATGGCCCGAAGAGGCCATCCAAGGCCACCCCCTTGCTCCCAGAGATCTCTCGATTCACCCTGGTTGCTCGCTTTGTTTCCCTAAATGTGTCTTTTCGTCCGTTTCCCCGTCAGCTCTCACGGGCAGGGTTTCTGAATGGGCTGGCGGGGATACTTTCCGTCGCGGCCGCAAACCGAAACGCAGGCGGCGTCCGAACTCAGCCCGGGCTAAGAGCCAAACCGAATTACTTACGCGCGCAAGTAACGGCCGCCGAAACTGCCGCCGAGGGACGCCGAGGAGCGACACCGGGGATTGAAGGCAGAGCTGCAAGAGGTGCCAAGTGTGCCAGGCGGCTGAAGTGCAACCATTCCAGGGGCGAGACCACCGGGAAGGCAACCGAATTGTACCTTGTCGCGCCAGGACCAAGAGGTAAACGAGCCACCCGAGCAAAGCACGGCATAGCGTGGGGCTGAGCAAACAGTCCACCGCACCTGTGTCGCATGACGACAGTGGCAACCTCAGGTGGTTGAACAGGAAGGCTAAACCACTCATGAACACGAAGAAGTGTATCCCACCACTGCAAGGCGGCAGCTGCAAACACGGCCAGGCTGTGACAGCGTCTGGGGGCCAGGGGCCAGGAACACGCGAGCATGCTAGCTAGAGCTGGTCGACGTGCAAGTCACCGGGACGCCAGGGTTTCTTCACCAGGCTGAAAGGAGCCAGCACGGACACCAACAGACGCCAGGAACTGAGGGCGAAAGCTCGGGAAACGCAACCAGGCTGTGGTCGGCGGCAGGGCGGCAGTGGTCAGGGGGGGCCAGACGGCGCCAAGACGGGCGGCGCAGCAAGCACCTGAAGGCTGAGAAATCCACAGGCCAAGTGCTAGCGGCGCGGCATGCGTAAGTCGAGTGACGTCACGAAGGGGGGCCAGCCCTGGTGGGGATACTTTTTGGTCAACGGCCTCGTGAGGCAGGTGAAAAGGCGTCCAAACTCTAGCCGGGCCACGACTAAGCAGCGGAAAAGCGGAAAGCGGAAAAGCAAGACAGGCGAAGCAGGGCGTCAGCTGCGAAGGGCGAAAAATTCTGGTAGACACATTCCCGGCGGCGTCCGAATACTCCCAAGCCCTGTGGCGTGGAAGTCCCGGCGGCGACCAGCAAGTAAACGCAGCCAAAATGGCGCGGCGGCGCGACCTTACACACGCAGAGGTCGAACGCCCGGTGTGAACCAGGCAAACGCCGCCGAAGACGAACTGGACCGACCAGCACACCCAGACGATATCCGTGAAGTAGGCGGCACAACTGCCGAAACATCGTGTCGGCGCCGGAGTGAAGAGGGGCAACCTCATCGCCGATAGGACTGCAAACGGCAGTAAAACCTGTAACACTTGTCGAAAACGAAGTCCATGCATGAGAACGTCAGCCAACGAGCGCACAGAGCCACACATGCCGAACCCGAGGTCCAGGTACCGTAAGGTAGGCAGCGTAGCGACAGACCCACGGAAACCTCCCGGGCTGGGGGCCGACACCGGCCAGGAGCAGGCCAGGGGGCACCTGACCTCAGCGACCGCGACGCAGCACCATTCCCTGCGTGAGGTCTTGCACGAATTCCAGACCAGGGGGCACCCGACCTCAGAGAATGCGACGCAACACAATTCTCTGCGTGAGTTCTTGCACGAACTCCAGAACAAGATTGCTAACGGCAGTAGAACCTGTAACACTTGTCGAAATCGAAGTCCATGCAGGAGAAAGTTGGCCAACGAGCGTACAGAGCCACACCTGCCGAATCCGAGGTCCAGGTACCGCAAGGTAGGCAGTGCAGCGAGAGACCCACTGAATCTCGGTGTCAGTAGGTGCAGGCCAGGGGGCACCTGACCTCAGCGAGTGTGACGCAGCACCACTCCCTGTGTGAAACCTCGCATTAATTCCCGACCACCTGAACGCCATCAGGAAGCGGGCTTGAGCAGCAGACCCCAGCCGCCAAGGAAGAACCTTGTGAAACAGAAGGGAGAACAACCGGGTGCAGGAGG